AGTAATAAGTATCTTGCAGCACAGCTGTAATGTAACAGGCTCCTTGTCAGCACTATGACTAGAGATATAGGCTAACACCCAGTGCTGAACAACCGCTAACACCATGCCACACAGCGCATTGCCAAGAGATCTTCCCAAATATACTCATTGTGTGCTTGGCTTTTTTGTATGATTTCAGTTACTTAACATTTTGAACGACTGAGTCACATAATATGCAATTCTTCATTTTAAACGTGTACTGTATCAAAACGCACCTCTAACGCATTTATGAAGGAAAACGTATGAGCGTCTCATCCCAGAGGCGGTTTATTAATTCTTAGTGTAGTTAAGAGTCAGCAATGTGCTTGAACTACATGTGTTCGAAGTACCTTGAGAGAAAAATACGAGCTAGGGGATCACCCGTTTTACCGATCATTCATTAAAGTGATCACCCGGCCGTTACACCGAACACCTGCTATACTGATCCCCTGCTATACTGTGCACGCGCGCTATACCGAACACCTGCTATACTGATCAGCCGTTATACTGAAGAGCTTTCGGTTTTATTGTGGGATCGGTTCTTCATCCGAAAGCGCTTAAAAATAAAGCACGAAGGGTAGCACTGAGGATCAATGGGTCGTTTCAGTCTCAGATGGCAGGATGTAAAATAATTTTTAGTAACTTCACTGTCATATCTTTTTTTCTTTTTTTACTTCAAAGCCACTACCCCTCACCACAACGATCGTATGCCACATCGAATCCGCAAACTAGGGGGCGCGAGGGAATAACACGGTCCGTTAAGCTACACCTACGACTTCCTATTATTGTAACTGGGTTACTGTAAACCCTCACAAATCACAGAAAACCGCTAATAAAACATGATAAGCAATAACATAGTGCGCATGGCATGCAATTAACGTCTCTGTGACCAAAATATGTATAGGTCTATACAACAGGGCCGTAGCCAGAAACAAATTTCGTCGATTTAGCCATCCTGGTCCCTTTGGTAAGGCGAGGTGCGAGAGGCGAGTGGGCTGAAGCTAATTTCGAGGGACGTTCAAACTTGCAATTTTACTACCTTGCCTTGTGGCCGGTCTATATGAAATAATCACTAAAACAACAGAAACTGTGTTACTGAAATAGAGACGATATTTCTAGTGTTCAGTGTCGACCGACTGTGATTATTTAGAGCACTAGATGGGGCTAGAGGAATGAATATTAAAATAAAAATACAGCGCGATGAATTCTGAATTATCCCACAGAGAGACATAAGATATACAGTATGTGTTACCATAAAGATTTATAACAAAGTACTGGACGATACTTACATTGTTTTAGACTTCGTAAAACTTCTTAAATCTGTTATCCAGGCGTTTCCCAAAGTTTATCACCCTTCAGGTGCATTTAAATTTTAAAGAATTAGCTGTAGTTAATTTAAGTCAAGTTTCAAAGGAAAAAGACCTAAATTTCACACTATGACGAGTATTGCTGCATTCATATAAAGTTATTTTTGTGCATAGTTGTGCATTTATTGCATAATTTGTATCAAGGAATTTACTTGATGTAACATTGCCCGGTGGCTCAGCACTGAAAAATGACCAACACCGAAACGAAGCGGAAAAGTCAGTTACATTGTAATAAGGCATAATATGTGTCCCATTCCAACTTGTGAATATTATTCTATGTCCAACAACAGCAACACAAAGTTTCATTCAATTCTAAAGTGGAACTCTTCCCCACAGCTGTCAATACGTAACTCAATAGTCCCTTAAGAGCGTCGATTCTGCCTCCCCCATGCAGCTTCACACGCAACTTAGTATCTGGACTGAACGCTGTTTTTGTTTGCACCGTTTGCACACTTGTTTGCACCAGCTGCTCATTTTGCACATTGTATATCTTCAGTTTGCGTCTAATTGCCATACTACCTATTTTGCACAGAGCCCTGATTTACCCTTATATTCAATATATAATCTGCGTGGGTTTGACGCTAACTGCATCTCACTGGCTCTATACCTGTACTCAGCACTCTGACAATGAAGTTGAACCTAATCTAATTAAGGACATTCAAAACTTATATACTGTAATAAAAATGCATGTATATACCAGCAGGGCTGCCAACTTTGGTCAGCTGGCTGGAGTGAGATTTTCAGTTCGAGACAAGTCTGCACGCACATGCACGCGCATTTACACGTCTGTACGACTTTTATTATCGTTTAAATAGTATGTAGGGTTTGCAAACTATCCCAACGCTTTTGATGTAGATACCTTAAAGTTTATAATGGAATAACATATAAAAATAATATATATTTGCTGAACCGCCATGAAACGTTATTCTAGTTTTGGTCAAATTTTAGTTTATCATGCCGGCCCCAACACGCTAAGACTGAATGGAGTTGGGCTGGAATTTGTTGTATTAATTAGGGTACTGTTTGCTATCCGACTTGCTATGTCACAGAGCGTTTTAAACCTAAATCGCAGAAAGAAGAAAGCAAATGATCGGAAACCACAATCTACACGTTATGGCAGAACGGCGGCAAGCTCAATAAAAATAGGTCATCTCTCGTTTATGACACCAAGCGCTACATTTCTACAGGCACAGGAGGCGTGGTGCTACATAAAACAATTCTACTTTACCCTTGTCGCATGTACCGGGGTCTGCAGTGCTCGATCTCTGCTTGACTGTCTGCGCGATCCATTGTGGTCACATTACAGATACAATCAGAGGACCTCCGGTTTATATGCAAAAGACATGTTGCTTATGACAGCATCAAATCTGAGATGGAAGCCTCAGATTTTATCAGTCCGCTCAATGCAAACAGATTAATAATAAAAAACATGCATAAACATATTCATACTTAGGCACAGACGTGTCGTTTTAACATGCGGTTGGAAAGACAATAATTTAGCACAGTGTGATAATAAACTTCTGGGGCTTAAAACTTAACGTCTCTCTGTGGGAAGCCGCGCCGAGTGAGAGCGGGGCTATGGAGAAGGGAGAGCGGCTTTTAGCGTCCGTGTGTTAAAAGGAAATGGAAATGAAACTAGCGACAGGTGCAGAAGTATAAAATGAGACGTCAGCGACAAAATCACACTCAAACTACTTAAATAAATGAGTATAATAGTTGCATGTTTTGTGTAGCTGATGAGGATAGCCTTATTCCATTTTATCTATTTAGTAGACACTAAACTGACATACATTCATTGTTGGGAGAGCTAGGTCATACAGATCTTGAGGCAATGGGTGGATAAGGGCCTTGGTCAGGGACCCAAAGGTGAAATCGCTGCTGACCCTGGGATCTAAACCAACAACCTTTGAATTCCAAGTATAGCATCAAACCCACTGTGCCACACTGGTCCCACAGCTATGCAAAGCAGTACAACATCCATTATGCTTAATACAATATTGAAGCCTTAGGAATATATGCTTATAAATACAGGTCATTTTCCACATAAGACCCAGAGGAGCTTGTTTGCATCACAAAATCAGGGCTGATTAAAAGAACAAATTGATACTTCTATTGATCCCTGTGCAGAAATTGTTTTTTTTAATGTCTCCCTAAACTTGCTCTTTGTAGAGTAAGCTGACTGCAAAGGGCAGCTACCTGTTGGGGTGCCCAGGGAGCTGGGGGTTAAGGGCCTTGCTCAAGGACCACAGACAAGCTGAGGCTGGGTTTAAACTGGCAACCTTCCAACTACAGACACACAGGCTTAGCCCAATGAGCCACACCCTACCTCTGGGTGTGACACTCAAGCTTTCACACTCAGGCTCACGCAAGAAATCTTACAGCCAATCTATATTATTCCATTATAAACCTAAAATTAGCTACATGAAAAGCGTTGGGGCAGTTTGCAAACCCTACAGACTATTTACAAGGTAATAAAACTCTTACATTCATTTACTGTAGATGTGTGTGCAGACTTGTCTTGAATTGAAAATGTCACGCCAGCCAGCTGACCAAAGTTGGCAATCCTGGGTATCTCCAAGGATGGGGTTGTGTGACTAAGCAGGGCCAGGCAATGATCACGCAGAAACCAGGGAGCTAGACGAAAAAAAAACGAGATTTGTTTGCACTGTGCGTACTGCATTTGCACTTTATCTTGTTTTGTCAGCACTTTCCAATCCTTACTGTTGTTTGCTGCAGAACTTCCCTGTGGGATCAGTAAAGTGTGGTTTTATTATGTTAAATGAAAGTAAGAAACATGACCGGGGAATGGAAACATGATGAAGTATCAGACCAAAAGCACAGGGCTGAGCGCTCCAGAAAGCAAAAGCTGAGCCGAGCGGACGTGAGATCAATAAAATGGCTGCAGGTGTGGGTGATCGCACTCCGAAAACAACCACGCTTGTGAAACGGATTCTGGACCATAAGGTGGAATGCGACTGCGAAGGGTGACCCTGTCTTAGGCCGTGAATTAGCCACGGGAGCTTTAAAAGACAGAAGATGGAGAGATTAGTCAAGTCACAGGTTCCCCTTCATCAGCTGTCCTCGTGTAGGCTTGATACCAGCTTTTTTCCGCCATCAGTCAGCGTGCGCTTCCACGACGAACGTCATATGATACACCTCTAGTGCATTTTATTAGTGAGACATAAATTCCATGTGTCTGAGGTTTGTGCCCAAAAGCTGTTTTTGGATAAGATTCCATTCTGCTGAAGGGTGTGTAGTGATAGGCCGCCCCATGTAAACTGGCACACAGGGGTCAAAGGAAAAAACTGAAAAACAAATAATCTTCACTTCATTTTTGAGCCTCGTAACCTTTTCGATTTCTGTTTCTGGTGGTTTACCAGACACTCACTTTCTGCAAGACACCTTCTAAGGATGTCTATGAAACTGTCTTTCCCCATGTTTTCTTATTTTTTTGGTCGGGGACAGTTTACCCATGTTTATGTCACAGCGCGAGATGTGAGAATGATCTTTCCTCGATTTTTTTTTTGAGTGGGTGAGACTGACGAAGAGGTGCGCTGTTTCACCCGAACAGACTGATGAACCCGACGGCATTTCCGCGAATCAGACCTCCTGATGCACTTTTCATCAAAGACTTCCTCCTCTGAACCTGCTGCCTGCCGGCTGCTCTCTCTCGGGTCCTCTCAACCTTGTGGCGGACAAGCATCATGGATCAGTGCGTCAGGACCTCTTACCTCCTCATCATCTCTGCTGTTCTCTGGCTGAGACTCGATACAGGTAAACGCTTCTTCCATTGTCTTCTGAGCCCAAGAGCTTATGACACGAAGCCTGTAAAAGAAAGGTAAAAAAAAAAAAACAACAGGTGATTTAACATGTGGAAAGCTCAAGCCAGGGAGAAGGTCCAGAAATGTAATCTGAATTTTGGCAGCTATCTAACTGCAAAACTGTGGAAAAACTACCAGATCTCTAAGTCATTTTGGCTATCTGGCAAGAGGTCCAAGATTTCAGCATCTGACATAAATTGAAATAAAATACAGAGACAGCGGAAGTCGCTTAGGAACATCTGTCCAGTACAAAAATAACATGACTCTAGCTGATCCTTTAGTCGGAGCAGATTAGAATAGAACTGAATATCTTTTATTGTCATGGCACATTTCTGTACTACGAAATTCACTGCAGAGTTCCTTAAAACAGTACATGTAACCTTCCACACATTGTCACCCCAGCCTCTCGTACACCAGTTTGTACTGTGCTTCCTTGTGATTTTTCAACGTCTCTTTTTCCTTAACACATTTTTAATGTTTTACCAGCCGAGGTTTCCACCTCCCGCTCACATGCTCGTTTGCGTACAGCCTGCCGGGCCTCATCGTGTGGGTTTTTGGTTTTTATGTATCTTTTCCTGCTTTACGAAACACGATTAGTCAACCAGGGTGACGAAGTTTCACACTGAACTTAATTCTCAAAAAAACATGTTTTTTTTTAAAAAATGTGTTAAATGTAAGTATATGCCTTTTTTTACATGGTATGTTGGTTTGATCAGTTAAGTTTTCCGCTGTCACTCCCTGCATTCCTTTCCCCTCATTCTCCCCATTGTGTGACTCTAACCAGCCACACCTGTTACTTGTTTACTCTTTCCTCCCATTACAGCCCTTGTCTGGATCACCCCAGGTGCCTCTCGTCTGCTCCCTCGTCAGTGGTGTATATAGTGCCTCCCTGTCTTGAGCTCCCCAGTCCGGTCATTGATGTTGC